TTCAAAGTAGTCTCAGAATCAAGGGAAACCTTCATGTATTTGACACAACAGAGGAGAAGCATCTATGTAGATGTTTAAGGGGAATACGGATGTTGAAAATGGGCAAGATTGTGATGCCAAGAGGTGGTAACTTGATTCTTATAAACGACCTGACTGAGAACATGTCACATAAGCGACACACCCCTTTAGTTAAATTAACCAAAGTGATTAAAACTCAGTTACAAACAAAGACATTGTTAACTAAAACAAAACAACATTGTTAACCGGCAGCAAGAAACCAAACAACCACAAAATCAAGAGGAGAACGGACTGGGACCAATCTTCATCTTTTTATAGCATTTGATTGGCTGAGGCACGCCACGCTGATTGGCTCATCTGCTCGGGCTTGAAAAACTAGAATTAAATACTGACCACCGCAAATGATTGTGTTACTCCTTTAGTTTTGCATTTATCTGCAAGTGTTCGATTATTCAAAACTTAAGACCTTAACTTGTGCTAGTCATAACCAAACCAATGTATTTGTGTAAAAACGATAACAAGGGCTTTGAAGTTACCCGACCACTATATTAACTAACTACCCATAATATAAATTATCAATTTCAATTCAAAAATCCTCTTTTCTAAAAAGGTACGAGCCGTTTGACTTTTCCAGTGAGGTATAAATAATTCTGTCTTCAATTTTAAAAATGATCTTTAACATGATTCGAAAGGTTTTTATATATTACGAGTAAAACACCAGCAATGTCCCAAATTGAAATTCATTTTTTTTTGCTATAGATGTTCAATTGGTACTTCGCCTTTGAGGCGTATGTCTAGGTCCACGTGTTCATAGGCCGCAATCGCGCGATTGCTCTTTGCTCTTTGCCCTTTGCACTCATCACATTCACAACACACTCTGATCACGTGAACCGGAACTGCAGTAGATGTCTGGAGAGGTGTTAACTGCAGTGTTATACTTCTGTCGATTTCAGATAAGGCAGTACTTTAAAGTCGATATCGTCAATGTACACTTCCTCTTTACCTGAAACTAGAAAGTATTTTGCGGTTTGAGACTATGACACTACAGTGGAACTTCGATTTCTAACGAGACGATATTCTTCGCCCCAGTAATAGTAAAATATAAGGAAAAGAACCCCGATATAACAAAACATCGTTATAGCGAACATATTTTGCCAGTCCCTTGGCCCTTCGTTATATCGAGGTTTCACTGTATTAGCAGTCGCCCCCTCGTTTTCTACCCTGGCTGATTTAAAAAAAAAAAACCTAGTGCACGAAAGGGTTAAAAAATCATGCCTACGCCGAATCACCCATCTCCCCTCAAAAGTCAAATGCCACCCCCCCTCTCTAAGCGGGCACCCTCCCACACTCTGGTCAACGAGTGGGAACCTTACCCAGTGTTACTTTAATCTCCAGTTCTCCACTATACGGTGAGTTCCAAAAGGGGAAGGCAAGTACGTTAAAATGTAGTAACAAAAGCTAACTTAGGTTATTATAATCTGTTTAAAAGAGATGCTTCTCTCGTGTCGCTAGAAACAAAAAGAGCAAAGTGGAAAGTGGTCACGCCAAGTTCGCAAGCGTTATTTAGATCGTCACGCAGAGTTCTTTCAATTATGCGTTGCGTGACAGTCCAAAATAACGGCTAAGAGTGAAGCTAAGTTTGAGCCTGGAACTATTACACATACGCTGGAGCCCCCCGAAAAAATCTAAAGTTAACCATGTACAGTGGGAGTGACAGGCCTGCTAGACTCTTCAGCGCGTATTTTGGCCTTATTTCATAGTTTCACAAGTATATCTATTCGTAAACACTTACTGGTCATTCGTCGTTTCATATTTTTGTTGGAAGATGGACGATACAACAAGGCTACAATCAAGAAAGCGACCAGAGCCTCGATACCAGGAAATACCGAGAATGCGCCTCTGAGGTACTGGGCACAAGGTTCGCCACAGGGTCTGAAAAAAATTCCAGCGTAATGTATGGGATCAGTAACGGTAGAAAACTCTCGAACAGTATCAACTGAACAGTCAAGATACAAAATTTAAGTCAAGGTATTTCGGGTTATTTGGTTTAGTTTCGTTAATTATGAACTCTAAACTTCAAAGTAACAGACCAACAGTCTTGAATTGGGCAAAATAACGGTCATATAAACATCAAGGGATGAAAGCTGAGCAATGACACTTTCATAGAATTTGAAACAAACTTGAAAAAAGTCGGTTTTTCAAGTTAACAGGAATTCAATCCGTTTGACTTAGTTTTCCCCAACTCTGTAAACCAGTCCCTTTCAGTCAACGCAAGAGACTGTCTCTGGAGACCTATGGTCTTTAGAAACATGGAAAAAGAAACCTCATCCATTGAGGCCGGTAAACTGAACAGGCAACAGTAATGAAATCAACTCACCCTTTTGTTTCGGGATAATTTTCTTGCAGTCCTAACACTATAAACCCAAGGGATGTTTTGTCCATCAAAGCACAAACACCGTACACAAAACCACTAGATTTCTGGAGAGGAAAAGAAATATATGAATGTTAAGAATACTTCATAAGGAAAACAAAAATTGACTTAATGATACTCATTGAATATTAAACCAAATCAATGTACGTTTTTCCTGTTTTCACGCAACTAAGAGAGTTTGAACATTCTTAACGCCCGAGTTTATAGAAGACAAGGGCTGTTACAAAAGAGCCGCTTTTTGCATTTTTAAATGTTTCTGTAATTGCTTAAAAAATAGTATGGTGATAAATGATCAATAGTGATAAATGATATCTTGTCAAACTCTCGCGAGATGGGAACACAGAGATCCTCAACTGACGGATATATATATTCATGATAATTATATTTTGGGATGGCAAACCTACTTTGTCATCACCGATTATTTCCGCCACCATGGCAAGTGACGTCACTAACATCATGGAGTTTCCCGCGCCCATGATGATTGTTGGCGCGTAGATCATATCTCTTTGTGACTGGGGGGTGAAATAAAACCACGTGGCACAACCGATAACAATCACCGCACCGGCACAAAACAGCACCTGAAACAAAATACAAGGGCAGCCGTAAACAAGAGAACAACTTTAACGTTAGGTAGCTCGCTGGGATTGTCTGGACACATGTAGACCACGAGTAGTTCCTCTGTTGCTTAGTCCGTCGTGATTGACGCACAACAAAACCGCGGGAAAAAATGGTCGTACAAAATCCTGGGGGCGAGAAGCGCGCGCTTCTTGGTCCCGGGATTTCGCGCGGCCATTTTTTCCTCAAGGTTCACTTACGGTCAAGTTCGAAGGAATAAGCGAAAGAGGGACTACTCGTAGCTTAGGACGCATAGTTTTGCGAGAACAGTCTAGGCTTAACCAGTTTAAAAATCTAGTTCTAGAATGATCCTAGTGTTTTAGATGAAGTAGTCTTCTATATTCTACTCATGCAACGATTTCCCACTACTGAGTCACTTGTATTTCCTCATACAAGTGAAGAGTGGTATAAATATGTAAATTCTCCCATCCAGTACTATAACGAATTTATGGAGAACAGTAGCGAGAATCTGCATTTTGAAGTCAAAGCTTACACGTATAGCATAGCCAGATATTTCAACCTACCCTGTTAGAGAAGTATCTGTTTAGTCGTTTTATAATCGTGCTTGTAAGAATTCCACTGATTAGAATCATTAAGGGGAAGTAAGCAATAGCTTCCTGTTAAAGAAGACAAAAAACACAAAACAAAACAAAACAAAAAATGAGGTTAGATCTCTCACTGAAACAACACACACACGAGGAAAATGAACACTAAGAAACGAAAGAAAATACTCACCTTTTCAAAATGGAGTGTATCTGTTAAGTACATTGGAAAATATGACTGGTTCAGATTAACTACATTTTGCGTCGTCATGTATATCAAAACAATCTGGAATAGAAAGAGAAGATGCACTTCATCAGTTATTTGTAGAACTCCAACTTAATGATAACTCACATAACGCGACACTGAGCCATGGTCACGACGACAGCAAAGAGACCCTTCGATAAAGGGACCAGGCCCAGAATTCGTAGCCCCTACTGAGGTTGTACCTCCCATGAAGGAACACGGAGGCACGGTCCACACATAAAGACAACATCTGAGACTTGACGTAACCGGACCCTTCCAATAAAGGAAGGGCCACAAGTTTATAAGTTGTACAACTACTATTATGTGTTTTACCCTCTGTAAATAAAGACTGATTGATTGATTGATTGACTGATTGATTGACGGATTGATTGATTGATTGACTGACCGACTGACTGACTGACTGATTGATTGATTGATTGATTGATTGAAAGGGATAATCGTACCAGCAAGTTCGTCAATTAAAGAACAAAGGCTGTGAAAATCAATGTCGAACACCTTTTTTGGTGGCAACTATGTATAAGAATTGTATTTTACCTTATAAAAGTCAGGATTTTTAAACCATTGTTTCCACGTCATTTTACTGTCGTTCTGTTGTTCCTGGTTTTCTTGTCTCTGAAGTTCGATTTCAAGAGCTTGCTTCTCTAGGTCTTTACACTCTGGAGCACTGGCTGGGAGTAGAGCTTTTGAAGGTTTTTCTTTTTCTTGCTCTAAAGAAAAGAAGTAAAAACGATTAAGAAGAACATAGCGTCAAGTTTACTCGTTTTTCTTGTTCTGATGGTTGGTGCACGGCGTCCTGTCACTCTTAAATGAGCTAAGGCCCCGTCCACATTATTGAAAACGCAAATTTGAAAACGCAACAATCACCGGCCATTTTGGACTTGTTTGACTAAAACCACAATATTATCGTAACGCTATCGTTTTCGAAGGGCTCCGTTTTCAAAATGTTTTCCGTCCACACGAAAACGCAAGGCCGGCGTTTCCAAGTTTCTCCGGTTTGAAGAGCGTTTTCAAAAAGCTCCGTTTTCGTGACGGATTAGTGTGGACGGTAGGCCTAACCATAGAAATAAAGCTGCGTTTTCACATTTCTCCGGCGTAGTTTGGACGCTTCTTAAAACAATTAAGAGTTCGTTATGAATGTTTTACAATGTACAGGTCAGCAGTGTAACCCTGTGTTCATACCTGGTGAGTGGTCCGCTTCATCTACACCCCAGTGAAATATTAAGGCGAAGAAACTTCCCGTCAGCATTACGATTATAGATTGATACTAAAAAGTAAAAAAGTGAAATATAGAGTTAGAAACAAATACCAAACAAACCAGGACAAATGATCATATGCAACCAACGTAGAAAAATGCAGTTATGGAACGGAACACTGAGTTCTGTCTGGTTTGGTTCAGCTGATATTCAACGTTTTTATTCCAGTCGATGCTGTCTGACGGAAACCTGGAAGCATTGGAAGTAGATTTTTGAAGTAAGCTCAAAAACCCCAGTGTTCTTTGTGAAAGACTGTTCCCCTGTAATCTAGGTATGTTATGACCTTTTCAAAATCGCAGTTAGCACAACTTGGGTTGGGTTATTAAATTTATCAAGGCCAAAACGATCATAAGTTAGTCCATAACGCCTTGGAAGCTGTGGTTCCTTACCGTAAATTGTTTTTGAGCTGATTCGTCCACAGTTTCTTCGCTGTTCTGTCCCAGAAGAATCCAAGTGACCACATACACAAACACTCCACATCCCAGCTTCAGTGCAGATCTGGAGAACAAAAGAAACTACATTTTGTTTGGAATTAAATTCGGGGGTTTGGTCCGTTATGATCAAAGTCGTTCCTAGGCTTCTCCTGGATAAAAATGAGGAAGGAAAATGAGGCAGACCATTAAAAGGCTGATAAGCTTTGAGAAAGAAGATATCAGGAGATGAAGAGATTGTGACATTGAGTGGGGTAATTGTAACAAAGTTTCCTTCATACAAAGTGAAGTCCTGAGGCCCGTTTCTCGAAGGTCTCGAAAAGTTTTCACACCCGGAAAGCCAGGGCAAAATCTCAAACCTTATGATTACATCATTTTAAGTTCTCGAGGCGCCAGTGGGCGCATAAGATTACAGAGTTGATTTATTCACGTATCCTTAATATAAAGAAAGGTTCCCTTTATACAAGTTTTAGGCGCATGCAGCTCTCTGTTTGTAGATACAGATTGACTAAAAATGGCTCTGCGGGGCGGAAAAGTTTCCAGGGTTTTCGAGAAACGGGCCCTTGGCAACATACAAACATGCTGCGGAAAACACTGGGTAACCTCCAAGACAAAATGTTCGAGTGTTCGCTTTCAATGTAGAGAAAACAGGGGCTAGGTGGTTGTTTTATGTTTTGAAGAGAAAATAAGCAAACAAACAACTGAATCTGTGATAAAATTACATCTGTCATCATTGAAGAAATGTTTCTCAATGATGATTTTCAAAACGTGCAGGTCGGATTAAATTCGCATAACCCTAGGATAACCACAAGACTATAAACCAACACCTTTTAAAGGTATCGGTTTAGTTTTAAAACAGATATCATTTGACGTCCAAAAATATCTCCTTTAAGCTATTCTGAGAAAATTGGATACATTCATAAGTTCACTCGTGATTTTTTCGGTGTATTCAACAGCTGACAACTGAAGAGATTCTTTTTGGTTAAATTGAATACTATCAAGAAAACGTCGGCGAATCCCATAGTGCGATGTGATAGACGGATTTGTTTTAAAAACATATCAGTGTGTGTGTTGTTGTTATTCTATCAACTGCGGATTTCCTGAGAGAATTCCCGGCACATTTTTCAGCCCACGGAAATACAGCAAACATTTACTTTTCCTCACGCAAATAAAGAATGAACAGAGAAAAAAAAAGCTTCCAACAATGTTGAGTGGTTCAGTTTCTTTCTCCAATCTTTTGAACTAAAAACACTTTAGTTGAGTTTTTCGTCATGAACTGAAGGGCTAAAAGAACTGACAGAAATCATGGCAGAAGTCACGAATTGCAGGTTTTCTGATCATCCCAAATATTAAGGACTCTTAAAGAGGCTAACACGTCCCACAAGTGAGTTCAGAAGGCCAGAAGACAATTTCCGATGATCACTTTTCCCGCAAAGAAGAAGAACAAAATATGTGACCAGTCACAGTAAGTAGCAGTCACCTTACACTGAAGCAATCCTTTTTAAAGACACACGAGTTTTAATAGCATAACCTAGGGCTGAAAGAGAAAAATAATCTTCAATTCATCTTTTAACAGCTGCCTCTTACTAGATAACGATAAGGGAAATAGAAATTATTTTTGATCACCCATATTGATCACAGGAAATGACGTTATAAGATTTCAAAATCTTGAAACCCCCTATGTAGAGTTTCTGGAGTTGTACAAATGTCTAAATTCTAAAAGAAGAGTGTGAAATGCAGAAAAGCTTTCTAACTCGTAGATTAAGTTCTGTTATGTTTATACTGTCGAGAACTGTTAACGTTTCAGCGGTAAAGTTGCATATTTTTCGTTTGATGCTCAACTGACAGTCTGCAAATTGGTGTAGCATGTGGATCTGTGAGGTTGA